TCTAAAATTAGTAGGCATGTCCTCAGGTGAGGACTTAAAAAAATCTCAAAAAAATTAATTTTAAGTCACCAAAGAGCATTGATCACTGTTCCTCTCCATTTTAGTCTGCAGTGTCTCAGGGCACATTCACACTTAGTGCCTGTACCCTCTTCTTTTGTTCCTCACGTGTCACTGCACTGAAATATTCATGATGATGGAACCTAACATGCATTCAGTACTACATGGCAAGCAGTATTTTCATTGTGTTACATTCATGAATGTGTTATATTCATCTTCCCAACAGTTCTGTGGAGTAGGCACCATTATTATCCTGAGTTTATAGGGAAATTAAGCAGTGGGTCCAAAGCAACACATACAGTAAGAGTGGCACTGGGGTTTGAACCTAGACAGTCTGGTTCAAGAGCCCCATCCTGAACCTCTCTGCTAACCTTAGAGGTATAACTTCACTCCACAAACATTTTCTTGAAAGCAAATGAAAGAAAATTAAAATTCATTTACTTATTTCTATACAAATTTTTAATTTTTTTTCAGAAATAATGAACACCTATGTAAATTATTTAGAAGTGTCTATCACATAGTAAGTACTTAGTAAATATTGGTTATTATTAGCTTTGGCAAAATGGACACCTATAATATCCATAGCATTGTTAGCAATTGATAAGAAAATTAAACAGCATTCTAGTTATCTCATGTTTACCAGTTCTAGGAGAAAACTAAAAAGTCACTTATTTTACAGGGTTCTTTGTCTCTAGCATCTGTCCAAGATGTTTAAATAAAACTAAGATACTTTGATTTATTTTGAATTCTTGCCTTATAGACACTGTAATTTTTATCTTTCCACCAGGTGGCAGCATGTTTCATTAGGAAATAATTTAAATGCCACTCTGTAGTAGAATTTCAGTATTTTGCCTTAAAAACTGTTAAACCATAATAAAAATAAAAATTTTTGCCCCTAGTCTCTCTCATCAGCTGTGAAGACCCTCGTAGCACATTGTCCATGGCCTACAGCCAGACCTGCCTTAGTTGTGCCCTGCACACAGTTTCCTTATGTTGGCCAGTGCAGAAAGTGTATTTTCCCGCATCTTCAACAGCAGTTTAAGCCCTTTTGCCTAGATTCTCCCAACTAAATTGTTTATTTCAGCAGCAGTAGGAACTATATCCTCTCCCTGTATCTTCCATAGTACGTAGATACAATTTAATAGGTACCCTTGGGTAAATGATAAATGATATAGGTAGGATATACATAAGCTTGTGTGTTTGCCTAATATGTATTTGAATCATAATGCATTTCTAGTTTTTGTTATGTTTACTTTAATTTGTGCTATAAAAGTCCCTGAGATTTTACTTAAGTTTAGGTATTACCAGGACCATTCAGATAACTACTGCCAAGGGTTGAAAGATTAGTGTCTGAGGTGGAAGGCTATTAATGGCTAATGAAGGTAAAGGACTGAACATGGCAGTTAATCAAAGTGGGGCAAAGGGGGAGAAGTAATGGTAAAGTGAAGAGAGTCAGGCTCCTGGTACTGGAGGGGGCAGTGCATGGGAAAGCCAGAGGCTCACCAAATTAAGTTGGCTGTAAGGAAACCTTTTTATACTTTGTAATCATGAATCTGCCTAAATATTTGTTTCACAGTGCTGATAATGCAGTCCTTTGACATCATTTTCTCAGCAAATATTTTTTTCTGTGTCATGACTAATATTTGGATTGGCTATATGTGAAATGTGACATATATATAGATATAATTTTTATGGATATAATGTTTTTATCATTCTAGTTTATGCATCACAAAAACTGTAATGATATTTAGGGTGTCATGTTTTAAAAGTTTTGCATTAACTAATGTTAAAAGTTTTCTGTAGGTATGTCTTTAGCTTGCTCTTTTTTTTATTATAAAGAAATAAGTATTCCAGATAGATTTTTTAATCTTACTCTTGTAAACATTAAACCTTGTAAGAATAACAATAGAAGTTTTTTAAAACATATTTTCTGTTTCTTATGTTAAATGGCAAATGCTGGGCTTCTGTCCTGTATGACTTGGATCATCGTCTCTAACACTCGTACTCGGCCATCAGGAGCTGTCTGCACAAGTCTGCTGCTGCCATGTGCAAGTTCCCCAGTGCCTCTTCCCTTCAATCCACATCCACTCTTCCCCACTCACCACGCACACAGACACGCCCCTCGAGCCTGCTCTCTTTATGTAAACTCCTCGCCCTAATCTGCTTCTATAGCTTAGGAAATAGAAAAACTTTTAAATTGTCTAAAGTTGGGAGGAATTTTAAGTTAAGACTGCCTTGCTAAACCATGAGCTTTTAATGTAAAGCCTTTGTAGTATCTATTTAGTCAACTTATTGCTAATTTCCTCTTCTTTTTCTGTGTTCTAGAGGTATTTTAGATTGTTATGTATCTGCCTTGAAAAATATATACGGGGTTTGATTTTTAGTAACTACAGTGAAATAAGAAATTATCAAAAATTTTGGCCAATTATTGTAAAAGATATGTATCTCTTGTCTTTCTGAGTTCTTGAGATCCTTTGCAGCTTTAGTGGATAGATAATTGTAACACCCAAGGCTCTTAGAAATTTCATTTGATCTCTGTCTAATAAGCCTTAATGTTCATTATATTTGGGAACTGGATAATTTCAGTTCATAGCCACACACTTTTAAAACAGGTATACTAATGTCTACATTTGTCACATTGGGTTTTAAACTCTGAGGATTTATTGAAATTGATCACTTATTAATTACTTAATAATAAATATTTTTTGCTATGATACAGATAAAACAATCCGTTTATATAGTATCTCCTATAATAAGTGCTATGTAGGTAATAACGATTAGTAATGACATGGAAAATTTTATGTACCAGCTTTTTAAAGCCACTTTTTAATGTTATTCATCAACAAATTAGCAAAAAGTCTGTTTATTTACATAAATTAGCATGTTGTGTGACTTTTAAAACAAATTTTCTATATGGAGTTATAACTTACTTATGAGACCTTGTAGTTCTAATGTTCTAGTGAAATATACACATGTGGGTACCCCTATAAGGAATTCCAACCCTGTGAATTTATGAATCTGTTGACTTCAGTATTCAGTTAGCCTGCTTTCTAAGCCCATCATCGTAATTGACATGTTATTGGAAATAAAGTTAAATTTTTCCTTATTTATCAGGATAACTTTAATTTTAAGGAATGTAGAACAATTCATAGCTGGCTAAAAGCTAGTTTCTCCTTCACTTTAACTGCAGCACACACATGAAAAGCACACTCACTTTCAGAGTGCCTTGTGAGTCTGCAGTGATTAATTCTTCTCATTATTTTGCTGCAAATTCTCATGACCCTCTCTGATGATTCGATCAGCCACTTAGAGTTTATGCATATTCATATCTCTGTGCTCCTGCTGCAGTCATTCACGTCTCCTTCACTGACTGGTGTGTTCTTGGTGCAGTAATTGAGCTGCAGTAGATTGATTACTCTGGGGAGCTGTAAGGCCTTTAAAGGTGAAAACATATCAGTCCTGTTAATTAGGAAACAAAAGCTCTGGTGGCAAGTTCAGCAGTCAAATATTTCCAGTATTGAAAAGACGAAAGGTATGATTTGTTCTTCTCCATGAACCCTGTTTACTTTTCAAATTTTGAATTAAGTCTGTATCAATGGTAGTGAAGAATATATTTCTTTATGGATTTTCAGAGAATGTTAATTAAAGAAGACCTTACTTATTAATACAATATTTTGTGATCTCTCATCTGCTAATTTAGAAACACCTTCCATAATATTGACAATGTTTACATGAAATATTTTAATATTTTGTATACCTATAGAATGTATGCAGATTAATTTTGTTACTTAGAGGTTTAATTTGGTTACAGTGATCTAACACTAATTTTGTCAATTTAGTAGTGTGCTGTATGGGAAAAGTGTGAAACTTTATTCAACGTGGCATAGAAGTTGAGCTGCCATTTTATCTCTTCATCATAAACATCCCTTGATTTTTCCCTCTTAAACTGTATACTGAAGAATACATTGTCTTGGCAAAAGGGGTTTTGTGTGGAACAGTCACCATCAAAAGTACACTAGTTTCAACATGGAAGTTAATGCAGCTGTATACCTAGTTGACAGGTTTTTCTCATGTGTGCTGTTCTCACGTTATGGTGTTCCCCACCTGCCATACATTTTTCTCTTGAAGTGTAATTCACACACCATAAAATTTATCCTTTTAAAGAGTACAATTCAGTGGTTTTAGTATATTCATAATGTTGTGCAACCATTACTACTAATTCCAGAATATTGTCATCACCCCAAACAGGAACCCCACACTCACAAGCAGTCGCTCCTCAACCCCCACCTCCTTCTCTTAACCCCTGACAACCAGTAATCTACTCTTCCTTTCTACAGACTGACCTCTTCGAACATTTCATATGAATGGAACCGTACTATATGTGGTCTTTTATATCTGGCTTCTTTTACTTGGCATGTTCTTAAGGTTTATCCATATTCAGTATGAATCAGTACTTATTTTTTTATGGCTGAATAAAATCGCATTTATGGTCATACCACGTTTTAGTTTTCGTTCATTAGTTGATGAACATTTTTGTTGTTTTTACTTTCTGTCTCTTACTGCTGATAATACCCAAGAACATTCACATACATTCTTGCTCTGTTCTTGTTCTTGGGGTGGGGGGAGAAGCTTTCAGTCTTTACCACTGGGTATGTTAGTTGTGGGTTTTTCTTAGGTGCTATTTACCAGGTTGAGGAAATTCCCTTTCTACTTTGTTGAGTGTTTTTATCATGAAAGGTTGTTGGTTGTTGTCAAATGCTTCTTCTGCATCTATTAAAATGATTGTGTGGTTTCTGTGCTTTATTCTGTTACTACGGTGTATTACATTAGTTGATTTTTCTTATATTGAAACTTATGATATTCTATAGAGCTTTTATATAATGTTCTTTTACTATATTGTGGTTTTCAATAACTTGAACCAATTTCTCTACTTTATATTTCAGGCATTTATTAATACAGCAAAAGAAATTTATGAAAAAATTCAAGAAGGAGTCTTTGACATTAATAATGAGGTATATACATATAAAAATATTGACTAATATTTATTTTTTATGCTTTTTAAAAAATATAATGATTTGTTGTTCCACTTATTTATGCATTCATTGGTTGATTCTTATGTGTGCCCTGATAGGAAATTGAACCTGCAACTTTGGTGTATGGGGACAGTGCTCTAACCAACTGAGCTACTTAGCCAGAGCTTATGCTTCTTTTTTTTTTATTTTATTCTTTCAAGTATAGCTTACATTTATTATTATTTTGCATTGGTTTCAGGTGTACAGCATAGTGGTTAGATAGTTGTACAACTGAATTTTAATTACAACTTAGATTCATGATTTTATATATTTTTTAATTCATAAAACGGATATGTGGTGTCAGTTCACACATTAGTTTCTAATCATATCTGAAAATTTGTTGGATGTTCTGTAATAGTTAAATGTTTATGTTCTACTAGAGCATCACTTTATCTGTGCAAACAGATTAAAGTAAGTGACCCTATCCATTTACTGTAAGCAAGGCAAAATAATATAAATCCTCCAAAGAGAGAAGGAAACCCACTTTCACCCACATGTCCATATGGTGTCATCTGCTTTGGGGAATAATTTTCTAGTTGTGTAAGTGTAATGCATGTACTACGCCACTAATGCAAGATGCTCTCCCTGTTGTCTGGTATGAAAGTGGGAAATACCCAATTTGGAAGTGACTCCCACTATAGCACAGCATATTTTCAGGAAACTAAATGAATATATATAATTGGCAATTGGCACTGGTTTGGTTTTCTTGTGAGGTTTTTTGGTTGTTGTTGTTTGTTTTGTAAAATTATTTTTGAGCCAGTTTTGGTCAACATGATTAGGATAAAATATTGAAGCATACAGGTCTAAGTGTTTACCAGTGGTCATCATTTTTACTGTGTGGTTGGGGTAGCATATTATTTACTGTTACATAAACATTCTTACTCTTATATTAAGACTTTTTGCTTCCAAGAGAAAAAACTCACCGCCGTCACAGTTAGGAAAGCATTGTGTTAGGGAGCCATTGCATGGGTATCTCTTGACGTACACATAAATGAGGGTGTTCATTATTTGCCTCAGTGTTCTTTGCTAAAACTAAAAAACAGTTTGCCTAAGTTTTCCAAAAAGTACTTGTTTTCATTTGGAGTGTTGTGGTTTCTAAATCCTATCTCCTAGATCTTGAGTTAATTTAAAGGCAACACCATTCAGAGACTAATGCCATATAAATTGAACAGTAATTGAGCCTCTGTGTAAAAGTGCACATTCATTGTTTCTGTCTGGTTTCATATAGTAGCTGACTGCTGCACTGTGCGTGGTGCAGCTTTGACTGTAATGTGCTGTCAGGAGCCAACAGGCCATGCAATTTATTTGGCCTAATGCCAAGCCTGACTCCTTGATTCCTCAAGAAGTTGCTACCAGCCCAGAGGGGGCAAAACCAATGAGCCATAGGGCATGCTTTTTATTAAAGAGGAGTCAAAAGAGCGAAAAGAAACCACATCAGCTGCTGTCAATACTGAGCTAGTGCCAGAAACCCCAAGGCTACTACTGTTGCAGAACAACTGCCAAGCACTATAAATCTGAGATTTACTGTGACGTAAAGTTTCCTTAAGAGCTTAATTTCTGAAGCTACTGTATTACTTTTCTCAAAGTGTTGTATTTTTAGGTAAAATCCACTTGAGGGAGTGAGGGTTAAGACATAAGTGTGAGTTTGATGAATGAAAGAACTGCTCTCTGTGTGGGTTCTTGGCAAGCTGCCATGTCTTTGGGGATCATAGAAATTATTGATGACACAGAACACTCATATGCCCTTAGCCTGTACAGCTGATTCAACATGGAAGAGAAATGCTGTCTAGAGAAAAGATTTGACATTGTATTAGAGCAGCATAGGCCTTACATATTTTTATCCTTTAAAGATGACCTGCAATGATTGTTTTAAACATTTTCTCCATTGTGAGAATTCCCTGAAAAGCAGCACTGTCTACTTTCTGTTTTCCCAGTTCCTGGTATGATAAAAAATTCTCTTCAGAAATATTTCCACAATGTTGTTTCTAAGAAAAAGAAAGATCCCCTAAAAAGGTTGTTTTAATTGTTGCAGAAATCTCCTTAATATTTTTCTGAGTTGTTGATAAAATTCTGTCATTAAGAATTAAATGGATTTTTATTGGATCCAGTTACATTTATTATCTTTTTGTCTTTTATTCCAGGCAAATGGCATTAAAATTGGCCCTCAGCATGCTGCTACTAACGCCACACATGCAGGCAATCAGGGAGGACAGCAGGCCGGGGGAGGCTGCTGTTGAGTCCGTTTTTACTGTCTCACTGCCCAAGTGGGGCCTACTCACTATTTCTTTCACCCTCTCCTGCTCAGCTGAGACATGAAACTATTCTAAATGGCTTTATGTCACAGAAGACTTTAATCTTTCAAATTCTTGTATAACTTTGAATAAATGGTTAACGTTCACTTAAAAAGACAGATTTTGGAGATTGTATTCATATCTCTTTGCTTTTGATTTCTAGGTCAATTGATGTGATTATTTTTGTTAAATGTTGTCTCGTGCCCTTACCTACGAACTGAATTATAGTAAACACTACAAAGTCATCTCGAGTATTTTAAATTGGTTTGTGTAGTTAGGTTTCCCAACACCTGTGGTTACCTAATGTTTAATAATAATGGAACTGTCCTCAAAAAGTTTGTCAATTTTCAAAGTTATAAGGAAAAGCAGAAGGATTCTTTTAATTCTGTATTTATCATTTACTTTCTGTATATATAGTTTAATAACCTGCTTGGGTGTAATTTGCCAAGCTTGAATTCATTAATGCATTTGCATAAACTCTGAACCATTTAGAGCTTAAGGCTACTGGAGCATTGTTAGAAATTGCTTGGACACTGAATTTTAAACTTTTTGACGTTGTTAGCAAGCATGTTCATCTTTTCTTGTCACTAGTCCAAGAAAAATATGCTTAATATACATTTTAAAAGCTATGTATATGTTAACCTGTTTTAATGCCAAAAGTTTGCTATTTGTCCACAGTTTCTTTAAGACCTCTTCAGAAAAGGATTTGTTTGCCTTAACACTGTTGGGTAACAACACAGTAATGAGCGAAATGGGCAAAAGCAAGAAGTCCGGACACCTAAGTGATTCCAAGAAGAATGAATGACTGTCCACATTTAAATGGCACATTATGAGGACTTTAATTTTTCCTTAAACACAATAATTTTTTTTATTCACATGATTTCTAAGTATTTTTCATGCAGGACAGTTTTTCAACCTTGATGTACAGTGACTGTGTAACATTTTCTTTCAGTGGTAGCCTATAATATTTAAAATATGGTAAGCATCTTGTCTGTTTTGAAGGGGATATGACAATAAATCTACCAGATGGAAGATCCTGTTAAAAAGTAGAAAAGCTTTAGTAACTTACTCAGTGTGGTGGTTTTATCTTTTTTTTTTCCATTTCTTTTCTTGGTCTATAATGAAATTGTTATAGCAGTGCAAAATAAAATCCTATGTATAAAATTGTTCTTTATTATGACCACATCATTTTAAATGTATTTTTTTAATCTGTACCTTTCACACATATCTAAGCATATTTTTAAAGGGTCAGAATGTTTAACTCCCTTTTTTATTTTTACTTTTTTAAGATTTCATTTATTTATTTTTAGAGAGGGGGGAAGGTCGGGGGAGAAGAGGGAGAAAGAAAAAGAAACATTGACCAGTTGCCTCGTGCATGTCCCCAACCAGGGACCTAGCCTGCAACCCAGGCGTGTGCCCTGACCGGGAATAAAACCAGAAACCTTTCGGTCCGCAGGCCAGCGCTCAGTCCACTGAGCCACACCAGGCAGGGAATCGCCCTTTTTAAAAATGTTGCTAAAATGTGATGAAACTCTTCACAATATTGAATTATTTTTTTATGTTGATATAAGCAATATTTTCTACTTCTCAACCAGCACAAAAGCACATTTAAACCATAAAAAAGCTTTATAAAGAAATCCTAAAAGATAAAACTAACTACTTTCAATTCACTCACGACTTCAGTGTTGTACAGGTCCTCCTGAATGTTCAGCACTGCTCTTTTAAAGCTTTCACATTCCTGTTGTGCAAGGTCACCCACCTTAGTTTTCTTTTACCTTGCTCCTGGAAGGCAGAGGGGAAGGTGAGAGGAAATGGGAGTTTCTTGAGTATTTTCATTATAAACCGTTGTTTCCTTAAAGTTTTCATACCAAAACCATTGATCATACCATTTAGTGATGAGTTGAAAGAAATTAAGGCAACTAAGATTTGTTCTGCCAATTTGTTAAACCAAGAAAAGAGTGATTCTTTGGATGTTATTTTTAAACTGCTGTTAGCTTTTCCAGAAGTTTAATGTGATTCTTTTTCATGCTGTCTAGCCTAATTCTTTTATAAGTTGAGTATAATAAAAGCAACAGTGGTTAAAAAAAGAGAAAGACAAACCAGTACATGTACTATAATACTAAAGATAGTCCTCAAATACAGCGCTTACCACAGCAACCTTAACCTGCCTCACCTCTAGCTGGGGACCAGGGGTGAGTAGTGTGAGCGGACTTCTCTCTAGTTTATTACCACTTTCTTTACATATCTCATCTACTTACGTCAGTTGACAAAGCAGTATTACTGTCTGCTTTCTACTCTTTGCTCATTTTATTACCCCTGTCACAAGTAATGTATTGCAATAGCAGTGGCACATGCAATAGAATCTTTAATACTATAATTGAATCTTTAATCGATTAATTTTAGTGGCATAGTATGGATGTGCTTTAAGAGTTAGAACATCAGTCACTAAAAAAATAAATACAACTTTTAATGTCTCAACACATGTAACATTCCAAAATTGTAATCTTCATAAAGATAGTGTTGCTGTTTGTCTTCTGAATTTGAGACAACTGAATGGAAAGCAGGTTTTTGAAAGAGAAGCCTATAGTTAGATAAGCAATTCAACAGTACAAGGTGGGGCAAAAGTAGATTTACAGATGTGAGTACACAAAACAGTTTTGTTACTATTAATGTATTATTTTCCAAACCAATGACTATAAACCTACTTTTGCCCCATCCTATACATGGAAACTTACTGAATCTTTGTAGAGGTTTTTTGGTGTGTTTTTTTTTTTAATTTTAAAATACCCTATTAGCAGGGAAAATGTCCATATTTATCTTCTAATATTCAAAAGAGTAGGAGTGTAACTAATACCAAAATGGGTCTAATCACTCAGAAAATCATTTATGTCCTGCTTTGGAACATGTTAAATATTGATTTTCTCATAGGTAGTGAACCCTGTTCATAAAAGATAACTCTGTTTCATAAAAAGAACTGACTATACAAATAAACCAACATATCTCTACCTGTGTTTCTTAAAGAGTTTGTGCTTAGGGTTCAAAGGAAGATGAAATCTAACTTACAGCACAGCATCTCATACTGCATTGGCATGTAGTAGAGAATGGTCCATATTTGGTTGAAGTCATTATGGGAAACTAAAGTGCCAGTGTATATATATGGTGTTCATTAGCTTTACGAAATCATGAGGCCAACTCTTAAAAAGTGAAGAACAAAGGACCGAAAGCCTAATAGGAAAAAAAAATGAGAAAACATAGTGAATTCCAAAAAATAATATAAAAATGTTCCTAAGAGATATTTTTAAAATTCAAACATACTTGGGGAAATGCAAATTAAAACCTACTATTTCTTACCTATGAGAGTAGAAGAAGTTTAATAAAAGTATGATAGCACATTGTGTTCATGAAACACTCTCATGTTACTAATGGAAGTGCAAACTAGTACTGCCTTTCTGAATAAAAACTGGCAGAACCTAACAAAACCAAAATATGCTTTCACCTGTTGTGCCAGCAATTCCACTTGTAGGAAAACACCTCAGTGATGCCCCCCAACAGTGCAAAAGCACATTCTCACAAGGTTGCTCCTTGCAGCATTGGTTGTAATTGCAAAATAGTTGGAAATGACAAATGTCTGTACTTAGGAGCACTCTCCTATAAAATAAACGTAAATCCACACAGTTCTTCACCGATGCAAAAAGTATGAGGAAGAGTTCTATGAACTCACGAATTCTAGGATATACTGTCAAGTGAGAAAAGTGAAGTGCAAGAGTTCACAGTTTACCATTTTTCATGTAAGTAAAAAGGCAGTATAAAAAACGTACATCTATCTGCTCATTTGTGCAAAAGAAACAGGAAGAATAAACTAATGACGTGGGTTACCTACAGAGAGTGAGGGGGTACAGAGTGGACAGTGGTCAGGAATGGGGTATTTGGGACAAGTGATACCTTTCTCGAGTGTACATTTTTGTTTAGCTCTGACTCAGAACTATAGTAATGTTTCACATACTCCAAACATAATTAAAGTCAAACATGATGTGCAGGAAACTCAAAATGAACTACAAACTAATGAATGAACCTACCTATGTTACCAATGAGTTGACAGTACCACACTGACAGAGAGCAGGAAAGAAAACCAGCATACAGCCAGTGACTCTAGAAAACAGGATTTTGACTGTATAGTGTAAGGCTAAAGACAAAAGTGAACTGTAGTTAGTAAAGGGAACTGGGTTAGCACTTCTAAAACTACCTTTTCCTATTAAGATAGAGCAAATAAATGTATTGTGAATAATGAAGTCCTTAAAGCAGAGGTTCTCGATGAAAAAGGACTTCTAAAAGTTGGGAAGGGCACAAATGAATCCTGTGGTGTTGGGTTGGAATTGGAGATGTTAGGAACGTGAGGTTTTTACATGTACAGGTGTGTGGGGAAATAGAGATTGGGGAGAGTGTGAGCAAATATAGCTAGGACCTAAAAGCAAAGACACCCGGTAGCAATGAGTGTACCTAGTACTCAGATACTGATTTCTAAATACCATTCTCCTATAAGGAAACTAGGCTCCTTGGAGGGATGGTTGATTCTAGGGCTGAGGCAGGGAAATCAGAAAATGGACCTGGAAATGCCAAAAAAGTAAAGTTATTTTACGTGTAAAATGAGAGGAGGAGTCATATGTCAAAAGACATAGGAGCTCCCCTGGCTGGTGTGGCTCAGAGGGTTTAGCGCCGGACTGTGAACCAAAGGGTCGCTGGTTTGGTTCCCAGTCAGGGCACTGGCCTGGGTTGTGGGCCAGGTCTCCAGTGTGGGACATGCAAGAGGCAACCACACATTGATGTTTCTCTTCCCCTTCTTCCCTTCCCCTCTCTCTAAAAATAAATAAATAAGGACATAGGAGCCAGTTTGTTGCTTCTCAAGGCCAAATTTGGGACAATTTGAAAAAATTACTGAAGTTAGTAATGGATTATTAACCATGGAATAAAATACCCATGATACAAATAAATGACTGAGCAAATAAATGGGGGAATGGAGCCAGCTTTTCCTTATAGTAGAATACCAATTAGTAGAGGCAGAAGTCATGATGTACAGGAAAAATTACCAAACACAAGAATTGTTGAAGAATCATTAATGAATGCCAAATGCAGTGGGCAAAACATGTCAAGAAACAAGATATGTGCAGTCTCGCTGCGTCTCCACAAGATACAGACGGAGAAGTGCTAACTTGGTGGTTAATTAACGACACCACCTTCATTAAGTGATCAATAAGACGTGAAGATGTCACATACCAACTGATGGAATGTACTGAAAAGGGCACGATTCTGTGGGATTTTTGGCAAAATGTATAGCCTCAACTCAGCATTAGGAGACCTCAGACAAACCCAGACTGAGGAACATTCTGCAAAGGAAGTGGCCAGTGCTCTCCAAAAATATCAAGGTCATAAAAGATAAAGAAAAGGAACTGTCACACATTGGAGGAGACAAGGGGGCATGACAACTAAATGCACTGTGGGTGCTGGGTGAAGCCTGGAGGAGGTCTTATAGAAGGAGAGGCACACTGGGCTCCCCCGGTAGGGGCAGTGGGGGTTACATGGGTATTCGCTTTAAAACATATGCATATATTGTATGCATTTTCTTTTCATACAGTTTTGTTTCCATAAAACAAAAATTCTACTTTATGAGTTGCCCTCAAAACATATATGTGTGCTGCCCTGGCCATGTACCTCCGTTGGTTAGTGCTGTCCCGCTACACCAGCGTGCAGATTTGATCCCTGGTCGGGGCACATACAAGTCCCAACAAACCAACACATCTACAAGTAGAACAACAAATAGGTGTTTCTTTCTCCCTCTCTCTAAAATCAATACAAACGTGTGAATTTTACCTTGTCCCCTTGTTGTAGGTCAAATTGTGCACCCCCTGCCAAGATACACTGATATCCTAACACCCAGAACCTCAAGATCTGTCAATGTTTGGAAATAGGATTGTTGCAGGTGTAATTAGTTAAGATGAAGTCCTCCTGGTGTCCAGTTAAGAAGACAGCCATGTTGAGACAGACACACACAGTGAGGCCACGTGGCACAGGTCAAGGTTGACATTACGCAGCCTCAAATCAAGGGACGCCAAAGATTGCCAGCAAACCACTAGAAGGTAGAATGAGGCAAGGAAAGATTCTGCTGCAGG